ACACACACACACACGCGCGCGCGCGCGCACACGCACACACACACACACACAGGATCACTGACTTTAGGCTGATATGCGCATAATCTAAAATGCACAAAAAAAGTCACATGTTAATCTCTCTAGAATTTGGCTGCGAAAAAAATTTGAAAACCTCATCATCTGAGACACAGTACTGTTAAATAACAGTGTTCTTTTTTTGGAAACAGATGGAATGTAAATTCACCTGCTAGATATATCTATTCCAAAATGTTCTGCTACTTTACTTTACGGCCTATAACTAAAGGGACGCTCGATGCAGTTGCTGTGTTGTTTTCTAACTTCAGTAATTATTTGATGATGAATAAATGCTTTTAGTAACTTCATCAGTTCTTATTTGATTACCGGTACTAAAAGATGCTTTTAGTGTTTCTTGCGGTTTTTCAACGTTCTTCTATATTTGTCTCCTTTAGGTGTCCGTCTTGGGACGAGAAAAGGAAAACATCTGAGGTCGAGAGCCGATCTTCTTGAGGATTCTGATCGCACAGAAGTTGATTTGGGATTAGAAGAAGGCATTCATGAGGATTGCTGGCCACAAAGGAGACTAATGCTGAAGATTCCCTTCAAGTCTTTACTTCGACGACTGCCTCTCATCTAATCATTGTTTGAGCAGAGAGCAGACAACATGACGCTGGGTTGCCTGCCTTGGCCTCCTCTACTTTGGTTGAGCATGGCCTTACTTCTAGCCTCTCAGTGGCCCGTACAAGCCACAGACTGTCCTCATTTGTGTGTATGTGAGATCCGACCTTGGTTTACCCCCCAGTCAACCTACAAAGAGGCGACAACTGTGGACTGCAATGACCTGAGGCTGACACGCATCCCTATCAACCTTTCAACGGACACGCAAGTGTTACTGCTCCAAAGTAACGCCATCTCTCACACTGGGGGTGAGCTGGAGGCCCTGCAAAACCTGACAGAGTTGGACCTGTCCCAGAACAACTTCAGCTCTGTGGAAGCTGTCGGTCTCAAAAGCATGAATCATCTTACCACCTTGCATCTGGAGGAGAACCAGATCAGTCAGCTCCAGGACAACTGTCTGGGAAATCTCTCAAGCTTGCAGGAGCTCTACATTAACCATAACCTCATAAACTCCATCTCCTCTCGGGCATTTGCCGGTCTGCACAATCTGTTGCGCTTGCACCTAAACTCCAATAAGCTTCATGTCATTGACAGCCGCTGGTTTGCAGAAACTTCTAACCTTGAGATCCTCATGATTGGAGAAAACCCAGTCATTGGTCTTTTGGACATGAATTTCAAGCCTCTCGGAAGTTTGAGGAGTTTGGTTCTGGCTGGCATGGATCTTATTGATGTTCCTCCCAATGCATTTGTAGGCTTGGACAACCTGGAGAGTATATCTTTCTATGACAACAAACTGGTCAGAATCCCTCAACTGGCACTCGAGAAAATGCCCAATTTGAAATTTTTGGATTTAAACAAAAATCCAGTTCGCAAAATCCAGGAAGGAGACTTCAGAAACATGTTTCATCTAAAAGAATTGGGAATCAACAACATGATGGAGTTAGTGTCGATTGATCGCTACGCTATGGACAACCTTCCAGAACTGACCAAGTTAGAGGCCACAAACAACCCCAAGCTGTCTTATGTCCACCGCCTGGCCTTCAGGGACATGCCTTCCCTGGAGAGCTTGATGCTCAACAATAACGCTCTCACTGCTCTTTACCAGCATTCGGTAGAGGCCTTGCCGAACCTTCGTGAGATCAGTCTGCACAGCAATCCGTTGCGTTGTGACTGTGTTATTCAGTGGATGAGTTCCAACAAGACCTCTGTACGCTTCATGGAGCCCTTGGCCATGCTTTGCACCTCCCCGCCAGAACTCAGGGGCCAGCATGTTCGAGAGCTAAGATTGGTAGAAAACTCCGAGCAGTGCATCCCACTGATATGCCAAGACACCTTCCCCGGCCACCTCAACCTAAATCTTGGCATGAGTGTCAGTCTGGACTGTCGGGCCATGGCTGAGCCAGAGCCTGAGATCTACTGGGTGACCCCACTCGGAAGCAAAATCTCTACGGACACTGTGTCGGAGCACTACCACCTGAGCAGCGAAGGGACTCTGTGGCTGTCCCATGTACAGGTAGAAGATTCCGGACATTACACCTGTGTGGCCCAGAACATCGAAGGGGCTGACACACGAGTTGCCTCAATTCGAGTGAACGGAACCATGCTTGACAGTGCTCAGGTGATGAGAATTTATGTGAAACAAACAGAGTCCCACTCCATCCTTGTCTCTTGGAGAGTCAACTCCAATGTTATGTCCTCCAATATCAAATGGGCCTCAGCCACCATGAAGATCGACAACCCGCACATCACATATACGGCACGTGTGCCTGTGGATGTTCACGAATACAATCTCACTCACCTCCAGCCAGCCACAGAGTATGAGGTATGCCTCACAGTCTCCAACGTGCACCTGCAGACACACAAGTCTTGTGTAAATGTCACAACCCGTAGCACCACCTTCGCCCTGAACCTGTCAGAGCAACATCCGAACGCTGCCGTGCTAGCGGTCATGGCAACCGCGCTAGCCTTCCTCAGTCTGGCTACTGTCGGCATCTACACGGCCCGCAGGTGGAAGAGAAAGAACTACCACCATTCCTTGAAGAAGTACATGCTTAAAACCTCCTCCATCCCTCTCAACGAGCTTTACCCGCCACTCATCAACCTGTGGGAGGCTGACGCAGAGAAGGACAAAGATGGCAGCGCAGAGGGAAAACCGTCCCCTGTTGATACCACACGTAGCTATTACATGTGGTAAAGATGTAGCAAGGAGGCCCGGTCGCCTCATCAGCAGCACAAACGGATAAAAACTTCGGACATTTTGGTGGAAGAGTCACCAAGTTGTTTTGTGGGCTTTGCTGATATGTAGCAGAGTGAAAACGAAGGGGGATTTTTAGTAGTAGAGCGTATCGCGCCGATTCTTTCTATTTCTTGTTTTGTCTTCAAGGAAGCAGCTGTATTTAGCTTCAATGTTACTTTAGTTGCTATACTGTATCTGTGGTGCATTTCTAACTCACTTTTACTTGGGTTAATAATACTGCAGCAGTGGCGGGGGGGTCTGACTCTTGTGGCAGCATTAGTAATGAGGAGTCTTTTCTTTCTGTTTTGTAAAACAGGTCAACCAATATGTGCACCAATGTGCAGTTTGTTTAAACTTCAATAAATAAAAGCTGACAGCGGGTTTTAGACGTGTTACATTGTCTACTGAATGTTAGCGACTGTGCAGTAATGTTGTATCAACTATACCATTCAACTTTCGGATTTAGATTAAAAAAAAAAAAAAGACAACAGTACTTTAGTTTGGAGATATTTGTGATGTCAAATGCTAGAAATACAACTGTAGAATGCTTCTTTTTTAAAATTGATTTTTCAAACAAGGAACGTTATAAGGTTTTACCGGTACTCTCTTCCTCATAGATATCACGGGGATGTACTTTATTTTGCTAGGATTTTTGCTGATTGGTTAGTTTATTTTCCACATGTAATATGTTACATTGAAAATGCCAAAATAAATACTTTGATAATTCTTTTGCATATTTGGTCTTTGCTTCCCCTCACATTTCAGTTTCACTTTTGGCCGACAGATTGAGCACAGAACATGCTGCCGGTTCATTGATTTTAACCTCACGAAGATGGTATAGATGAATTATTATGCCAATTATTCATCACAGATTTTCAGTAGATGAAAAACATTTTATAAGAAAATGTTTGTAGATCCACAGTCTCATTTATGTAGCTTATGGTTGGTCTTTCCTAACCTTCCTTACCTATAAAGTATTTACTGCTTCAACGTCAATGCTCAAAAGTTTACCGTCTCCCTCAATGACATGAGAAAATTTCCTCTGTTATAAATACAGTAGCGATGTTACCTTCTTGCTAAATGTTTGGAGACAAATAGACAACTGTGATTACAAAATTAGGTTTTAATTTATTTTTCATAAAAATGAAAGAAAAAAATACATTAAATCATTTGGTCAAGTTGACAGACTGAAACTTGCTCTAAAAGGTAAAAAAAATAAATAAAAATAACACAAAAAAAAAAAGGTTAAAGGTTGTTGGAAGAAGCCCAATCAGCAATTCACAAAAACAATGTGAAGCAGGAGCTCAAGTGCAAGTCAGCGTGTCTCCTGAGAGATGCAACGAAAACCAAGATTGGAGGAAGAGCTCTGCGCAGAGTTCTGGCTTCGCGCAGCACAGCGGTACCGGTAACAGTATGACTGAAGGAGGGAGAGAGAGAGATGCAAAATGTAAGACGCTGATGTACATAAATACATCTCTGGATAAAACATTGCTCACAAGAAACATAGCGGTGCAGTTGAATTAATAGAAGTAGCCATCACTTTACCTTGTGACACATGTATGATCCCCCTTTCATGACTTTGTTAGTGCCTGTTGGAGGACCTGTCTGAAACAAAAAGTTAATCATGTTAATGACACGTATGCTATTTTAGGAGATCACAAGTTGTTGAGTGGGTGATGCTGGTAAGTTTTACTGGATTGTGTTGCTGTTCGGTGGAATGATGCACAGTCCACCAGTCTGACGTCCATTCCCAAGCATTGCCCACCATGTCAAACAGACCAAAAGCATTGGCGGGAAAAGACATCACCTGAAGGGCGTCGAGTGCAGACATTAAATCTGCATCGAATCACACATTCTAACAAGGTGACCATGTATCAAGTATGCTCTAAGAAAGAGAATCGTTCGTTGGTTCGTTTTAATTGAGCAAATTAGTTAAACTGTTCATTTTTAACAATGATACAAAAATAATATTCAAATAATACATTATATAACAATAACTTTCTTTTGGTGTAAGTATTAATCAATGCATACATTTCATGTTCACCAGCGTTAAAAATAATAATTCACAGGTTGAGAGCTCCCCCTACAGACAATCAGCGTGAATTAATGTATGGGTAATGCTGGAGTATCAGCTATTATTTATGAAAATGCCAGTTTTTCATCAGCATTTTTTGTTTCCTGTAGATTTTTTTATACATTTAGTCAATTACAAAGCAGGTTTCATCTCCCCCCCAACAAACCTCCAAAATGAACCCTCTTGACATTTATTTTCCTGAGTCTCACATACCGGTGAGGTTTTGACGTATCCATCTTCTGCAGAATTATTGTGAGGGAACTCTCCTTGCCAGAGGTTGGCATAGTGTTGCCCTTTTGGGTTCAGTCGATTTCCCCAGGGATAAAGTCTGAAAAAAAATATTAAGTTAATATTATTCTCAATATTTATGTTTTATATTTATGTTAATATTTTCGCGTGTATAATTTTTAGGTAAATTAATTAAGTTTTGCAAAAAATTATGGTCACTATGTTTGATTAAATCCATTCCGTTCTTAGAAAAGGTAATATATTGATTGATAATCAAAACATTTCATCCACTGTAATTTGTATTGAGAAATCAATAACAAAAAAAGCATATGCTTAATGATTTTGAGAACAATGTATACTGCTGATGTTTTTAGATTACACAGTGAGTGAACACCCTACCTGTCTTTTAAATTGCCTCTGCAGGCGTACTCCCACTCTGCCTCCGTTGGTAGGCTCTTGTTGGCCCAGGTACAATAGGAAGCAGCATCTTCCCAGGATATATGAACAACAGGATGATCCATCCTAAAATGGATTCGTTTTTATTAGCAAAACTATTGTGAAACAAACATGGTCAAACAAAAACAAAAATATGGATCAGAAGCGCATCTGTTTGCCTATCTGTGATGTTGGAGTCAGGGCCCTCAGGTTGTCTCCAGTTTGCCCCTTTAACTGGAAGCCACCAGGGGGCAACAGCCACCTAAAAATGCAATTAAAAAAAAAATGAAAGAAAGTACAGTCCTGTATAAATCAATGATCCTAAAAGTTACTTTTTACAAGAGACAGGAATCCGTGTATTCAGGCATTTGACAGTCTCCTACAGGGGTGCCCATACTTTTTCAGAAGAAAACCCACACAGGTAAGGGGAGAACATAGGAAGGCCACACAGGAAGGCCAGAGGCCGGAATCAAATCCTCCACCTCTGCACTGTGAGGCAAAAATGTTCACCAGTCGTCCACAGCAATGCCCTGCCCTCAATCATTTTGGGGCTATATAAGTAAATTTGACTTGGCTTGACACAATGGGCACTCCTGGTCTACTGAGTTCAGACTGCAATTGAAATTTTACATATTAGGAGGAAAAAAAAAGTCACTGCCGTCCAAGCTTGAAAGGTAGCAAAATATGGACTGGAATGTCGGGTTGCACAATAAAAGTGTTGAAACAAAATACAGATTATTTGGTACATCTCCCACCCTCACCCATGCTCCTTTGCAACCTCATGAGCATCCTCCCCAGAAATCTCTCATCAGATTATTTGCATTTATCTCAACAGTGGTCATTTTGGTCTGAAAAAGTCGGAAAATTCTCATCCCTGCATATACAGTATTTACTGTCAGTTGTCTGTACTGGACACAAACATACAAAACATGTCGCTCTTTTAAACCTCGCCTTAAAATGTTTATTCTAACCATGAGACTCGTTTGTTTTAGTGTTTTATTGTGTTGACTGTTTTTGTTATTAATTTATTTGTATGCCCGATTTTTATTTTATGTACAGCACTTTGAATGCAGTTGTGGTTATTGTAAAGCGCTCGATAAATAAAGTTGAGCTGAGTTGAATAACATATTGTCAAGCTAGACAAAAAGCGCTGCTACGAGGAAGAGATTTATAATTGCAAAGTGTGCCGTATAGTTGTTGCAAAGAATTATATAATCCCGAAAGAGCTTTACAAGCTTACTTACACAATGAAGACTTAACTCCCAATGTTTGCTTTTTGTCCTACTGCGGTTTGCCTTCAGCTAAAATGTGTGATGACTGAGCACCAGCAGACCCTCAGCAAATAAATAAATTGCAGCAAACACGCCCACAGGAAGTAATGGGAAAAACAAAGCCTGTGAAGTTCTCCCCCTGGCGCTGACAGCTGCAGGTTTCCATGACAACCACAATGAGAGTGCACCCATCTGTGGGTCATTATCTACTTGAGTGGTCTGTGTAAAATATTACGAGGTTTTTTTCATGCTTGCGCACCACCACAACAGTGGACAAAAAGGAAGTACTTACCGCTTGTGTGATCTGGCTTTTGACCGTCTCACTGAGAATTCCTTCAAAAACAAAAGAGTCCCCAAATTTCTCTGCCTGAAAGAATAACAACCCATATCACAAAAGAGGGCATAAGCATGCATCGCCATATCGCTCGATTAGCACCTGCGTCACATAGCCTGTGACATTGGTAAAGCTCTGGAACTGCCGGTTGGTGACTTCCTGGATGTCCATGTAGAAGGAGTCCACGTGGACCCGTCTCTGAGGGCCCTCACCATCACTAGGGATGCCTGGGTTGTCTGTTCCCATTAGAAATTCTCCACCAGCAATCAGCACCATCTACATACAAGATTTATATTCGTTAACCTTAGTGCCAACTGAAGTTTGGTAAAACTATTAAGGTTATAGCCCTCTATTTATTTGTACACATCACAGCTCAGTATTCTTAGCAGGCATCTGTAGATATGGGAAGCACAATTTGCAGTTTATGAGGTATGATATAGGTTTGATCACTTTACCACATTAACGGTTCCATATGGACAGAAAGAGCCATTTACCTGACTTAGCATGTTCTCGCCTGCCTGTGTGTCAGACTGCATCTCATTGGCGTCTCTGGAATATTTTACATTTGGCTTCTCCGTTGCTGTGCTTTCCCCCACAACAGCGTCTCTTTTCAAACTCTCACAGCCGCAACTCGCTAAACCCGGCGAGGTGGCGGGCTCGGAGTGAGCCCTGCATATAAGCGCTTTGTCCATACAGACCAAATGGATCATCAAAACAGCCAAAACGCCGAGCATGTCTGGTTGCAGGTCCCTCACGTTGTTGACGCTTCCTCATAGTCACGTGGTCAGTCAGCTGGTACTGGCTAGGTCTATATTGCGCCTCCAGAGGCTGGCATTGGTACTGTCCGTTTTAATTAACTTCATTTGAAAATTATGTATTTTATAAATTATTACTAGTGTCATTTAATTTGAATGCAGTCCACGAATAACCTAACGGCATTCATTGACTCTGAATAATGAAACAATAATTTCCCAGAGATCAACAGTGCCGCCGCGCGAGAAGAAGTGGCAGTGAGCCCTTCCAGCTCAAACTCAGAGCACCGCACAGTTGAATACCGCCTGTTCCTCTCCTTACTGGCCTCCTTACAGTCACAAACCCTGGCTTGTCACTCCGCTGGCTCTCGCTATCGCTCAGCGGAACGAGGGGAGAGTGGAGCCGCCGTCATGTTGTCGTAGCTGGTCCTCGGAGAGCCGAACATCCGAGCGTTCAACCGCCGCCGAGGTAAAGTTTTGCTTATCTTCATCCTCTTCTCTGCAGAGAAGATAGAGCGCTCCATAAAAGGCTAACAGTTTCCCACTGCTCAAGTCAACCGGTCTTATCGTTTCCTCAAGCCATGTTTTTTGATTCTTAAATGATAGACTGCTATTTACGTTTACTCAATTTTTTTTTGGTCACAAATAATGTCAGTGCTTTGATAATGAGCTGACTGTTAGCACTAGTTTACACGTTTTGGTTTCTGTGCAGTTAAAGACACTGTTTCGGATGTGCTCAGTAAGAGGTTAGTTAGATGGAGAAAAGTGGACCTGTTGCAGGTGCACAGCTTCCTGTTGGCAGTCCTAATGATTAACTATTCGGACATCTAGCAGCAGCAATCTATTGCTGTAACATGAAACACAATTTTCCTACAAACTCATGCAAATACATGGAATCGTAACAGCCTCACATTTAAATTTACCCCTAACTTAGCTAATAGTAAGTATAGTAGGCAAACTAGCAGCAGGATGCTGGATAGAATCCTTTGCTTTTTTTGACCACAGATACATTTGATAAACACTTTTTATTGTCAAAACCTTTTTTGGAAATTTATTGTAACTTCCTCTGCTTTAGGTGTTCCTTAGTAAGCGTCCAACATGTCGGATAAAATGTCCAGCTTCCTGCACATCGGTGATATCTGCTCCCTGTACGCAGAGGGGTCAACCAGTGGTTTCATCAGCACTCTGGGGTAAGCACATTTCATTGGTTCACACACAGCACTTGCCAGGGAGTGGATCAGGAATTTTCTCTTAATTTGTCAGGAGGTAAGCAAATAACAAAATGGGGACGTGTACTGACGATGGTGTACAAGTCTGCAGACATTGAGATATAGCCGGATGATGGTGTTGGGAGAGGTGAAGAGAATCAAGTTGAACATGAGAGAGACAGAGAGACAGACACAGAGTGATAGAGAAAAGGCATAGAGCAAGACAGACAGCTGAACACCATGAATGGGGAGGCTGAGAGTTGAGACACAAACAGAGAGTTGTGTCTATGCATCCACAAGCACTGGGCCATCATGTTTGTGATTGTGTTAAAAAAAAAAAAAAAAAACAAAAGGCCTGCCTGATGTGTGTCTGTTATTAAATTAACATTAAATAAATAGTTATTCAACATGGCCTTTCAAAAATGGGAAAATGTGATGCATATTGAAGTAATTTACGCACTATTGTACATGTATGTGTTTATTTCCAACAATAGACAAAAAGCAATGGCAAGAAATATACAAAATTTCAACAACCCAGTATGTTAATAAGGCTACTTTTGCAGGCTTGCTTGATTTTGTTTTCTGATAAGGTTAGCTAATGTTAGCTTGAAGCATGCTGTCAACTCAAGGCAACTTTCATACTTGGCTTGGCTGGCTGCTATTAAAATTCATAAAGTTAGCCAACAATATGTCTGGACCAGAAGTCTCACCTTGAAACAATAAAATATTATTCGTAATCATCAGTTCCTGCAAGCTCTGACTGCCTCTTGTTGGGTGAATGATGGTAACTTCAGCGTGTGGTTTACATCAACAAAACTTGACTACTGTTTTAGCGGTGCAACACATTAAAGGGTCCTCTGGTGTTCCTGTGATGCCTTCCTGGTATGCTTTTATTTTGGAGACCCGACATTACCAGCTACAGGATGTGTTGCGCTGATGTTGCTTGAGTGTTCCTAAGCAGACTACTTCTTTGGTGCCATGAATTGTTCATAAAAACTATCAGTCTGAAAGGGTTCTTCCTTGGCAAATTCGACCCTCCCCCATTAATTTCAGCTACAAAGGTACTTTTTTTTTTTTTTGCATGACCTTGCTAATGGATAAATGGAGAAAATCACTGCAGCCTATTTCTATCCAGGCCATCATTCTTAAGCATTTTTCTCACACACCAATTCTAGTCGTATCAGAAACAGTGCTGTGGGCATGGATGGCTGAATGTTTGCATGTGTGTGTGGCATATTTCCCACTACCAGTGACAGAAGGACTGGAGAGATGCTGTGATGCAATTTCGCATTTTATCAACTAAATAAAGGTGTGAAAAGGGATGGAGGACCTTGAGGTGGTGCTCTGGTCCTCAATAGCCACATAACTGTACACTCCTCCATTAATTTCAGCTACAAATGTACTTTATTTATTTATTTATTTTGCATGGCCTTGCTAACGGATAAATGGAGAAAATCACTGCAGCCTATGTCTGTCCAGGCTGTCATTCTTAAGCATTTTTGTCACACATAGGTTTTGGTCGTATCAGAAACAGTGCTGTGGGCATTGGTGGCTGAATGTTTGCATGTGTGTGTGGCATACAGTATTTCCCATGACCAGTGACAGAAGGACTGGAGAGATGCTGTGATGCAATATCGTATTTTATCAATTAAATAAAGGTGTGAAAAGGGATGGAGGACCTTGAGGTGGTGCTCTGGTCCTCAATAGCCACATAACTGTAAGTACAGGAATAAGAAAAAACATATAGTGGACCCCGGATACTTCTGGTTCGAAACCTGCCAACCAATCCGCCTATTCACTGATTTTTTTCCTCAGTATTTTAAAAATTATTTTGTAATATTTTTTTGGGTGGGGTTGGCGGGGGTTCACGGCCCCTATACCTTGCAAATAGCAGGAGTCCACGACACAGGGTCGGTAAATGGAATAATGAAGTGACAGAAGGACTGGAGAGATGCTGTGATGCAATATCGTATTTTATCAATTAAATAAAGGTGTGAAAAGGGATGGAGGACCTCGAAGTGGTGCTCTGGTCCTCAATAGCCACATAACTGAAAGTACAGGAATAAGAAAAAACATATAGTGGACCCCGCATACTTCTGGTTCAAAACCTGCCAACCAATTCGCCTATTCACTGATTTTTTTCCCTCGGTATTTTAAAAATTATTTTGTCATATTTTTTTGGGTGGGGTTGGTGGCGAGGGGGGGGGGGGCTCACGGTCCCAATACCTTGCAAATAGCAGGAGTCCACGACACAGGGTCGGTAAATGGAATAATGAATTGGGTTAATGTGAGTATGACGAGTGAAGGTGGCGAACAGATGGAAACTATAAAAGCTAATATTGTCTATTGTGCAATCTGTAAAACTGTCAAGACAATGAGTCATGGTGTTGCAGAGTCAATCAAAAAATGGAAAGTCCTGCTGTATGAAGACCAAGTCATTGTAGAGGTTTTGAGGCATTTGCTGAGTTCCACAACTTCCCACGCACGTACGACCGCATAAATTTGCAAAATTGTCATCGTAGTTTTGGCCTGCTGCTTTTTTCACTTTGCGTAACCACCAACAAATGAGTTGCAACCTTGTAAACCCTCACACAGTGAAAGTTTTTTGTTTGCATTTAGAATCACTTATTACTGTAGGAAATAATACGTTTGTGACAACTGAAAATATTTTTAACTGTACTGTACAGATACTTTAATAGTAAAATTTTAACATTCATGTGACCCTTGTGAGGATAAGCGGTTCAGATAATGGATGGATGGATATTTTAACATTCTTTATGACGTTCCATCAAAACTTCCAAGTGCTTCACTTGTTTCCCACCATAATACAACGCAATATGGTTATGAATTAATCATATTTGGATGTGGAAGAAACTTCATATGTATTTATAATTTCAGCTTCCTGGTTTATCATTTTCTTGTTATCCAGATTTTCAAATAATGAGGCGATACAGCGTGCAGGTGGGAGTATTTATCAAGGTGTGCAGTGATAGTGTGTCCTTAAATTAGAGAGTTTCTATGCACAGTCAACACAATTCATACTTGCAGTTGTGCCTCATTGGGCTAATCTAGTGCTATACAATATAACTCAAATGCAGTGTATAAAGTAATATTCTCAAAATGCCTCACATTCCTGTTTTCAGTTCAGAAACTTATCAGTTTTGTAATAATATGTTTCAATCTGCAGTTTGGTGGATGACCGCTGCGTGGTCCAGCCTGATGCCGGAGACCTCAACAACCCTCCAAAGAAGTTCAGAGGTAAGAGGAGGCACAGAGATTGTCCTCCGGCTGACATCATCCCCGCGAACTGCTGTGTGTTTATACTGAGAGCTCTGTGATAGACACTGCTCCATGTGTTGTGCTGCGTTTCTCCGGTGACGGCCACAATACCTCTGCCCAATGGTGCTCCATCCACCTCACCTCAAAAAACAGATTTGATGTTAATAAACCGAGCACCCTTATAAAGGTTTTCATTTAAAAAAAAAAAAAGCATTGAGAGGCTTCTTTGGGTGTCCTTGCTATAAATAGTCCTCATACAGGAAGTAGAACCCTCGGTTCTCAGGCTGGAGGCTTGTGTCTCTAGGGGCAGCTGGCCCCACGTTGCAAAGAGAGTATCTGATCTTGGGTAAACTTTGCACTCTGTCAGTCGTCTCTTTGCAAACAGCTGATGAAAATGTGTCCTTAAGCGAGGTCATGTTTGATAGATTTAGAAGACAAATGTTTATACGTGAGCATTTGAGCGAACGGTGCAAGCTAACTTTGAGGCAGTAGAGTCGTTCCCAATTACGTAGCCCACGTGATAATGATCTACAAATGGAATTGTCCTTGTCGCTGTGGAAA